CTAGAACTAGAATCATTCGGGTTTAGCCGCACGTCTCTCAAGACGGCTAAACCCGAATGATTCTAGTTCTAGGTCTAGTGTTAGTTCTAGTTTTACACTACCACTATCACTAAAACTAACACAAGACCTAAAACTAAAATCATTCGGGTTTAGCCGTCTTGAGAGACGTGCGGCAAGTTTTGGATTTAACCGTGCGTCTTAGACGATATTAATAAAGTTTTTGTTGAAAGCTTTCAAGTTGAATTATGTTAACTACAAAGATAAACCTTGTTGCTTTTATTTGAATTAATTTTAATATAAAATCCTTTATGTTTTATTATATTTTATAGGAAATCTGCCTTGTTGTCTTCTTTGGCGTTGAGTACCTGGTACGTTTGTGGTCTGCAGGTTGCAGATCGAAATACATGGGATTTTGGGGTCGTCTGAGATTCATTAGGAAACCAATATGCATAATCGGTAAGTTTCAGTTGGAGAACGTTAACGTTGTTTCTCAGAATTCATTTCCCCCGAGGAGAAATACCTAGTTGAAGTGATGTACTGCAGGCTGACGTTGCTGCATTTAATATTATACCTTCCGGGTGTTCCAGGACCGAATTCGAAATGAATTTACTTGACCTAACTTGCGTGACTTCGCAATCATTCATATCGCCGAGCAAACTTTAACGATATGGCCAATTACGAGCACAGCAGGCGCTGGTGCTAAAACGTTCAGTTGGGGGTTACGTGCTAAATTTATAGAAGTAAAACTTTGAATAAGAGCGAAAAATATTCCATTCTTTTCTTGTACCCGAGTGAGTTCTTGCGTAAATTTCCCGAGATTGAATTGAAATCGCTTCACGAAGCGTATCTCTGGAAATAATATGCCTTTTCAATAGATAAATTTAAAGAATTTCGATTTTAATACGTTAAATTAATTTTCTTGCAGATTTAATAGTTGTAGTAGCATCAATAGTGGTTCTTACCCTCGGTTCAAACGGGCAAGTTTTCGCCACTTCAGCCATTCGAGGAATTCGATTCCTGCAAATCCTACGGATGCTGCACGTGGATCGACAAGGAGGCACGTGGAGACTTCTCGGTTCTGTAGTTTTCATTCACAGACAAGTAAGTATCTCAAAAATGTTTCATTTAACCACATCTAAGGAAACCAATTAACAACGAACCATAGATAGATGAAAATTAAAAGCACTAAAAAAGTAAAAAAGTTGAAACGATTTGCACATTGCATTCGTTGAAACTCGCCACCATCACACCACGTACTAAGCTTTTAATTAAACTTTCCACTCAATCGTGATATTTGACGGAGGACGCATTTTCATACCAAACCGAAACTGTAGATTTTAAAGAGAAATACATAAAATACTATTCGAAAATGCTCAGAAATAGATATTGAAGGCCTCCGGGTAAAGGGAAAGTGGATATCCGGTATTGTATTTCATTTTAGCCGAAAATATACGCGGGTTCCGTATTTTAGCCGGTTTAGGGTGGAAAGATAGCGCTCTGGAGGCAAGGAAAAGGCTCAAATGACGGAATAAATGGCAAATCAATAATGGACGGTACCAACAAATACAATGTAACTTCATAAGACTAAGTATCATAAAATAAATGTTTATAAAATTACATTTACTAAATGGAAGGATTTTGTTTTAATTTCAAATGCTTTTAACGCGTCGCATTTCTCTTTTAGTTTGATTTAATTTAGGATGACAAAATATTATTGAAAAAAACACAAAAATAATGCTTTTATACCCTTTTAAAGTAAAAAATTTCAATAGTTATTTAAAAAGGATTCCTCAAAACCGGAAAAGGGTTTTTATTTTCGGTTCTTCCTTTTCTGTGGAGAAAGGATTACGGTTCCTTAATGGATGTTTTAATAATGCACGTGTATTCGGCTTTACCTTTTCAGGAACTTATTACCACGCTGTACATAGGATTTCTCGGGCTGATATTCAGCAGTTACTTTGTGTATCTTGCCGAAAAGGACGCTAATGTTGGCCCCGACGGGAAAAACACCGGCGATTTCTCCAGCTACGCGGACGCTCTATGGTGGGGCGTCATCACCGTAACCACCATAGGCTATGGAGACACTGTACCAAGAACATGGATGGGAAAAATCGTTGCTTCTTGTTTCAGTGTTTTTGCCATTTCATTCTTCGCTCTTCCAGCCGTAAGTAAACTCAAAATTTCTTTTTATTATTTTTTTACAAAAAAAATCATGTGAAAAATAGGGAGATGAAAAAGGGTTTTATCGGAAATATCTGCGGATAAAACCTGAAAGTGGCAGAAGTGGAAACTCGATTGTCGACAGCAGACAGATTGATTTTTCCTACTTTGGGTTGCATTTTAGTCTATTTATAGAATAGCGAACATTTACCCGCTTTGTATTCCCGAGATAATGGGGTGCTATTTTTAAAAAAACGCTGGTTTTAACAAAAAGGAAAGTACAAAATACGATTGATGAAGGCGGACAAGAGAAGCAAAGTGTTGTAGGTAGGTTATGTGAGTAAAAGAAAAATTGTATTTCTTTCGTATCGATGGCATCATCGGAAATAGGTATAGTATTATCATGTTCTGAGATTAAATTAGAATTTAGACTGCAATTATCTGAATCATCTACAGATTTAGCGTTTACAATTAGTGAAGAGTCTTCTTCTAAATGATTTATTTCTACACGACTGAGTGCGTCGACATTTGAGTTATTTTTACCTTTTTTATGAATGATAGTATAATCGTACTCTTGAAGATACAATTTCCATCGCTGTAGTTTCAGGTTACCGTCTTTCAAGTTGTGTACCCACAACAAGGGTTTATGGTCCGTTACTATAGTAAAATGAGTACCATAAATATACGGTCTGAATTGTTTTAGGGCGTAAATTATTCCTAAAAGTTCCTTTTCAATAGTTGAGTAGTTCAATTCACTCTTGCTTAAAGTTCGAGATGCGTATGCTACAGGTCGATCTTTGTTTATCTGTCCTTGACTTAGGATAGCTCCTACTTAGTGCAATATTACTCGCATCTGTTGTAATTATAAACGGTTGTTTAAAGTCTGGATAAGCGAGAACAGCGTCATTACACAAAAGTAATTTACATTTCTCGAAACATTTTTTATAATTGTCATCTATAATAACATTGGTATGATCTTTTGAAAGAAATTTTGTTAAAGGCTTCGTAATTTGAGCGAAATTTTGTATGAATTTTCTATAATATCCGAGTAATCCTAAAAATGATTTTATTTGAGTTTTTGTTTTTGGTATAGGGAATTTCTTAATACATTCTATTTTACTGGGATCGGGTTTAATTCCATCTTCTGTTATGACATGACCTAAATAATTAAGGGTTTTCTTCATGAATTCACACTTATCGAGTGATGTTTTTATTTGATATTGACGCAACCTATTGAAGACGTTTTCTAAATGAATTTTGTGTTCTTGCAAGGAATTTGAAAATATTATGATGTCGTCGAGGTAAACTTGACATATATCATCAGTGAGGCCTCTTAATACGTTGTTCATGCACCGTTGGAATGTACTAGGGGCATTACATAACCCGAAAGGCATTCTATTAAATTCGTAGAGTCCTTCATGAGTTATAAAAGCTGTCTTATCACGGTCTTTTTCGTCAACTTCTATCTGATGGTACCCACTAGCAAGGTCTAAACTAGTAAAGTACTTGGCTCGACCTAATTTATCTAGAATATCAGTAATATTAGGAAGGGGATACCTATCCTTTACTGTTTTGTCGTTAAGTCGACGATAGTCGATTACCATTCTCCACTTTTCTTCTCCTGAAGCGTCTAATTTCTTCTTTACCAATGATATGGGGGATGCCCATGGCGATTCGCTTTCTCGTATAATATTATGTTCTAAAAGTTGTTTAATTTGTTTCCTTGTTTCCAACTTTTGTGTATAGGGTTGTCTATATGGTTTTTGGTATACGGGTGAATTGTCCGTTAAGCTTATCGAATGCTTGATAGTAGAACTAAATGTTAGAGGTATCGCTTCATTATGAATTAAATCGGGGTAATGACCTAAAAGATTTCTTATCATATTTTTTTCTTCATCGTTCAAGTGGTTAATTCGTAGTTTTTCATTTATTGTTTTATATTGAATATTTCGAATTTCTTGTTTAGTTAGGATAATCTTACTATTAATTTCATTATTATTTTGCAAATTTTCAGAAATTTCTTCAACTTCCATTGGCTCAATAGGAATCTTCACTGGGTAATCATTGAAGATCGTCATCTCCGTAATAGTTTCATAATTATTCACATTGACAATAGTGTTTGGTATTTCTACGTTTTCGATAATCTTGCTGTGATTCAATAAGAATTCACCTTGTCGTTGATTTACAGGAACTTTTACTATATGTCGTGTTCTGGGAGATAGAGTTATTACTGGTGGTTGATATATAAAAGGTATGTTTGCGGTTTTAGTTTCTAAAATTTTATTTTTATAATTAATTTTTGATTGTAAGGCATCTAATATGTCAGAACCAATTATTCCTTCGTAATTATCGGAAATTTTGGCTACATTAAAATGATATAAATTTATTGGATCATTGAACGTAATTAATCCAGGTATTTTTATTCTAAAATTATGAGTTGTTATCCCGTGTACTGTTTTAATTTGGTATGGTTTATAGTAAACGAAATCATAAAAGTGTTTTGTTACTAGTTCAGGACTTACAAAAGACATTTCAGCTCCACTGTCAACAAGAAATTTTGCGTTGTCTAATTCGGGAAAAACTATGTGTGGTAGTTTGTCGAAGTTTAAATTATTTAATTCTGTGATGGGGAGGGATCTTCCGAGGCAGATATTAGAAAATTTTCATCTTTCTCATCAAAATCTTCACAATCAAAGCTGTCGGAATTTTCATTATTTTCGGGTTTTATATTCATCAAATCGTCTAGAAGACAATCTTCTGGTCGTTGATCGGTATAATTAAGCTGAAGACATGTTTTAATTTCATGCCAACTAGTGAAATCACGACACGCAATTAAACTTAAAGCTTCTCCTTCGAAACGACTTTTAACAATATTTATTAAAAATNTCTTTATTAAGAGGATTTAATTTTCCATTGGTACTATCTTGTTTTTTGTCAGAAGTATCTAGTCTTCTATCAACAGTATCTAACATTCTGTCAACAGTATGTAATGTTCTGAAAGCACCATTTAGCGTTCTATCAGCAATATTTAGTCTTTTTAAAAGACTAGATAGCCTTCTGCAAGCAATAAATAGTTTTCTGGAGCACCAAATAGTTTCCTACAAGCAATGTTTAGTCCTTTATTAAGACAATCTAGTTTTATATCTAGAAATTTTTTTCTCTTTTAAATCTTAATCGGTTTTAACACGAAACGGTTCATTAAAGGATTATAAAGATTTTTGCTTTATATCAAAAAAATGATGACAGCTAGATTAAAATTGTTTTTAGATTATACTTTTTTAATTTATTATCAACAATTTTTCCTAATGGTTGTAATTTTTGCGTTATAATCGGTTTTAATACCATAAAAGAGTCATTATGAGATTATCCGATTTAAACTTTTTTATCTAGAGAATGAAAATAGCTAGATTAAAATTTACGTTTCTTTTTTTTTCGTTTATAAACCAGGCTAATAAACCATAATTGTCGTTATTCGAGTAAATCGTTCCTTTCGGTTTGTTGAACCTCTCCGAACCAGAATCTAATCTCGATCTTTAGAAAGAGGATCAACCCTACATTCTGGTGGTAGGGCGATTATCCATGAATTGAATTTATAATGCGTTTACCTCGCCCTGTCGCCATCTAAAGTCGAGGATATGATGTGATGGACCTCCCCACATTAATATCAGAATAGAATGGTCTTAAAGGGGATAATATTTCGTGATTGGCTTAAATCGAACGAGAGTGGACGATGTACTATCTATTGGAATGAAGTGTCGTTGATGGACGTGTGCACTCTGTTCGGGTTAATATAGTGATAACAGTTCAGTTCACCTTGTTACGGACTAGATCAATTCCCAATGAAGATTGAGTGACACTAATCGGTTTACATGGATGGTTTAATAAAGGTTTAGAATGAATAAACAAAGAACGTAAAAGTTTATTTTAAATTTTTAAACTTACTCCGCTATTATTCTTCCGGTTCGTTTTGTATTCCATCTTGTCCATTCATTTATCATCGTGTTTTATAAACTATTCATTTCCGCACTAGAATGGCACCCTAAATAACGCTAAATTTTCCTAACGCCAAGGGAAAAGTATCAATATTTACTGAGTTAGGATACGTTTATCACCGACATAAACTCGCTGATATGAATAGCAGACGTCAGGTACCTTTTGATTGATGATGAACCCCCCGCGGAACGCTGTAGAAGGGTCGCTTTATCAAAACGACGACGTCAGCTACACACCGTGACCTTTCTCTCTCATCGCCATTAAGTCAAACCAATCACCATTACGATCCTTTATCACCTACTACAACGATAACGATTTTCCGGTAGAGCGACCCTAAATTTTCCAAAATCAAAGGAAATTGTTAAACGTTGATTTGTCTTATATAAATTAGGGTTGAAAATTTCTCATCTAAATTGTTACACCTTAAATAAACATCAAAACACAAATTAAAATTGTAAATTATTAAAACTTTACAACTTCGTAGATGTCACAGATTGTTTGTTTCATGTTTAGCCAAGGTCGGCTGCGAACGAGGTGCTGCAATGTGTTGAGCAGATTTGGGTTGATATGGTGTTATGCCTCGATTTAACCAGGTGAAATCATATCATTTCGTACCCTAAATACAAACCGAATTGAACCTCGATCTGGTGATTTCTCCATCTTGGGAGAGATCTTAAGGTCAAGGTCATGTCAGAATCAAGGCATACTACTTGACCTTCACTTCTATTAAAATATGTCCCCGAAGCACATTTCTATTCACCACAGCCTACCATACCTTTAAGATAGGTAACTATGTAAATAGTAATTATGTAACATTTATGGATAACAACATCTGCTTTTGAAACAAAAACATCTTAAACATCTTATCAAAATATTATAAATTATAAAAAGTGTTTTACTATAAAGAATAGAAATAACCTTCTAGAAATTGGTGACCCCGACGAACACTAACCTTTTTATTTTTGATAATCAAAATCACTTTCATTTCTTAATAGACACAGGAGGTGACAT